CAAAAATATAAGCAAATAAAGGTACAAAAAGTAATCCAAGGACAATATTTGAGCATTATTATAAACAATTTTCTGAAGCGGAAATAAAGAACAATTTAGATGGACCAAAAATTTGCAAGGTTAAATAGTATGTGCAAGTTGTTAAAAATTGCCCAAAGATTACAATCGCAGCTAATTTCTTTGCTAATAAAACCGACCCATTCAGATGCTGGGAGTATTACACTTACAATCGACCTACGTTTAGACAAGTTGAGCTTAGACCATACAGCTAAAATGTACAAATTTCACTAAATACATATAGAGCAAATAAAACTGCATCCCGCACATCCTGACCAGTCTAACTGAGACCCCAGCGCAGGCCGAAAAGCAGGAGAGCAGCGGTGATTATGGCCACGGAACGTGATGTCTCGCTGCCCGCTCCGCAGGCGAGGTTGTCGCGCGGGTATTTGTTGAGCGGATCGGGCTCTTCGCCCGGACGACACTGCTTTCCCTGGGCAGCAAACTGTGCTCCACACAGCTCGTGGCAGGGCGGGCACATGATCGCCCCCTTGTGCAGCCACCCGTTGGCCGCGATCCGGATGGATAGCTTCTGTCCGGGGAAGGAGCACTTGTAGCTGTAGTTGCCCACCAGGATGTGCAGCCGGCCGTCGAAGCAGTCGTACTTGTAGCAACCACTGCCCCAGTGCTGCCACTCGCGCGTCTGGTGACAGGATCTCTCCTCCCACATGGACTCGCTGTGGTCGAAGCACTTGGCTCCCTCGCCGTAGCTCTCTAGGGCGAAGTTCTTTTCAGGTTCTGCAGGAGGTGATTGGTATTATAACAAGAACCTCTTTAAGTAAATATGTTCGGCTTACTAGGATTATTCTCCGTGAAACGGCAATGAGATCCTCTTACAATCACATTCTTGCTACGCCAAGTGAACTCCTGAATATAGGGACAGTGATCCGCCAGCGAGACTGATCCTCCGTAGAATCCCTCTTCCCCATCCTTCACATGATTCAGGCTATCGAAGTTCTGGTAGCCCTTGGGCAGCTCGAACTCATGGCGTATAAGATTGCACAGGGCCACCGAGTTGCGATCATCCGTGCATTCGGTTTGGAGAGGATCCTGTTTAACCTTTGAGCAAAAGGGATGTATAGAGCGGCCCCTTTAAAAATAAAATAAAAGGGAGTTTATAAAATCGGTTAGGATATAAAAATAAAGGATTTCTTCACCTGGCATGGTTATACTGTATCCAATCCTTGCAACTCCTCATGGCAAACGCACAACCCAGCCCCTTGCCCCAAGTCAGAGGCGTAGCCATCGAGTAGTTGGCCCTATACCAGCCGGAGTCCTCCATCAGAGCAAGGGTGATGCGCGAGAAGACCGGCGACTGTGTGTGCGTGCCAGTCATGGCCTCGTTCTCGAGGATGCGCTTTTCCCAGTGGGTCAGGGCGGTGCCTTCGCCGCCTTGATCCTCCAGCTCGGCGCCCTCCAGCTTATTGCAGTTGAAATGGGCGCGCACCTCGGCAATCACACGGGGTGTAACCATCATGTCCACCACCTTGTTGACATGGCCACCACGCACAGACCAGTTCTCTCGCACCACCTTGCGTATGGTCTCGTTGCTCCATTGATGGATCTGCAATCTGAGAGGGGGTTTTGGGGATTAGGCTCTGTTTTACTTAAGTTAAGATAGCTTACTTTTCATTGAGGTACGGCTTGCCAGTGTCCAACTTCCGGGGCGTCCGGGGCTTTCCTTCATCGTCCCTGAAGAAAGCGTATAGGCTCACCGAGAAGCCCAGGGCATGCAGAATCTCGTGCTTCACGGTGGAGATCAGCGTCTGCAGCTCCTGCGGCTTGGTGCTAATGCTCTCCGGACAGAGATTGGCATGGCCGGCGATGGGACGGTCCAGAGCCGCCTCCTGCTGACAGTGGGCCGCATAGGCCACCGTTAGACCCTTAAAACAACGCTGGGTCTGTCTGGCGGAGACGTAGAAGACAAAGTCCGCGTTCTCAATACCATCGCCGGGCTGCGTATTGCTATCGACTCGACAGTTCTGACCTGTGGCGTTGCACACGCGACAGACCTACAACAAATAAAAAAAAGGTAGGATACTTATTAGAAATATAACCCATAATGGGACTATTGGGAAAATTTATTTTGGACTTTATAATAAACATTTATAAATGTAATTCCGAGAAAAAAAAATGGGTCTTAAGGCTATATGACTTAAAAATAATCCAATCAGCAAGTCAAAAATCAAGCAATGGTAATAAGGCCTTAATCAACGAACTATGCCTGGAAAATAGATTTCACATATAGTCCGACTTCGATTGCCTCTTTTTTCCATATTTTTTTATAATTATTTATTTTGTAAATTCCTAACGCTACAGTATTTCTACTCTGAGATTTATGCTTTAGTAACAATTTTATTAAGCCTTAGTCACAATTTGATTAAGATCTCTTACTAAAAACAAGTTGATTATTCCATGAAAAAAATTGTTTAGCTCCCATATTTTGTTAAGATTGTAGAAGTAGCCAAAGGGTTTTTGTAAGTTTCCAACTGTTTGAGTGACCCGTGATTAAAGCTGAAATTGCTTGTGTCTTGCCTAAACCAGTTTGGAATTTTACAAATAGTTATTTTGTTGAGCTGCACTTATTTTACCCAAGGCCTTTTCTTTGTAATTAGGCGTTCCAAACTTAGTTGGGCTTGGATTTTGAAAGGAATTTGTCTTGAGCTAAACTTGACTTGAGTTCATGGAGAGCCTATGTAAGTAAGGATACTTACATCTAAGTGGGCGTCGGGCACCTGGACCTCGCCGCACATCGTCGTCGCCTTGCAGTGGTCAATGCAGTGGGTGTGGCCGTTCTTCACGTACACCTGGGTGCTGTCGCATTTCCTGAAATTTAATTATGAATATTTTATACCATATGCGGTGGCCTCCTTTGCGAGCGAACAACCTACCTATTGAGGCGGATGACGCCCTTGGTCTCTCGCACCATCAGCGCCTGTTCCCAGAACTGCACGGCTTCCGGTAGCACGGTGTCCTGGAAGGGGTTAAAGCAAAGTCTTCAGTCAAGTTGCCAAGAAAACCAGAAATGTCAACTCACATTTATCAAATTAAATTTCTCTTCCTCCAGCCTGGCAGGTGGTGGGCATAAAACAACAAGAAAATAGTTTTGTTTATTACATTCTCTGGGGAAAAGGATTGCTTGACGACGTGGTTGTCGTCTCTCTTAAGGTGTAGGGATTCCGGGAAATCCAAGAAGCCAATTTCATTTTGTGGATAACAAAAGCCTTGGCAACCATATTAAGGCATGTACTTGATTTCGCCATTTAAGCTTATTAGTCAGGGTAAATTCAGGAATATTGGGTTTCTTACGGAAAGATTGTCATCAAAATATTATATTTCAATTATTGAACTGTTTACCCAATCACATAAATTGGGAGTTAATAATGATGTTTTTACTTGAATTACATTTTTTGAAGCCTGAAGTTCTTATAGAAGAGTGAAAGTTCAGTAATAAGCAACAACTTTAATTTCAATATTAAAATACTACTAAAAGTCATACTACTAAATAAAATTATATCAAGTTTACCATATAACTAAAATTACTTCTATTAGTAATTGTAATAAATAGGCAAAGTGAAAGTAGTCAACGAATTCGTTTTTGATATTAAAATATTCCTGTATGAATAAAATATACATTACTAAAAATCATATTATCATTCAAATAAAATTCAAATCAGTTAGCTATAGATTCCTCGACGAAAGCACTTTTACACCAAGGTCGCCCGATATTTACTGTCAACTGTCTGATATTCATACCGAGTAATTGTGTACCTGTTAGCACCTGTTTGAGTCACTTATTCACGACTAAATTATTCATTGAATCGAAAACGAGACCCAAAATTAAAGCCAAGTCGAGTCAACTCTCCGCTTTCCTGCTGACCTTGTCCGCTGTCAGTGCTCGCCAATCGAACCGGGCTAACTGTCTGCCAATCTGGCCAGTTATAATGGCCAGCAGTCAGTGGCCAGTGGCTAGTGACCAAGTGGCCAAGTGACCATGTGGATGGAGCAATCGATGGCCAACCTTAGGAGACACCTCGGCCCACTGCGTTGATTTGGACAAATTGCGCACACATGGCCAACCGATTCGGGCCTGAAGTTAAGATATTGTTACCCAACCCGGAGCGGCCGCAACGGTGCATGGCCACAGCAAAACGCTCGGGAGAGTGAATTATTTACTCGGTCTTTTAGCGCGGCTTTATGTTAACTTGACATTCGGCCAAGTCAAATTGTAAACTGTTTTTTGTCTGCTTGGCTGACTGCCATTAAAGCGCAATTAAAGCCAATTTTCAGAGCTGGAGCACAGATTTACACTTGCAAAAAATACGTAATTATGTGGTACTAGAAGAATAGTAATGAGTTTTTTAAGCAAAATGAGTTTATTGGATTTTTAATTATTTTGATTCAGAATTGTTTTTGTATTCAATGAGCCTTAGTCAAATTATTTTTTTTCTTTTATAAAATATTAAAAAAAAAATTTTAGTTGTTAAACAGCTTTAATTTTGCATTTTTATAAAATACAAAAAAACCTTAAGTGCAAATATTCTAAATCAAATCTAGACTAAGGGATTCTACGATACAATATGGCTTTGTATGTATTTTTTGCTAAAATTTGTAGTAATGTGTCAGGTTCGAAGCTTGTCTAACCAAATATTAGTTTAAAGCATACCTAAAATAGAATATTTCATAGTATAGAAGTTTATCTTCAACTCCCAACAAAAGTAGGTTGATTTTACTCAAAAATTAGTTTCAAAATTCTGCGATTTTCCGTAATTGTTTTCCAGAGTGTATCTGGTACTCACCTGTAGACGGAGTCGTCATAGACGAGCAGAATTCGCAGCGGCTGCTCGGCGGCAACGCTGCGCCGGCGCACGCTATGCCTGGACGGCTCTCCCTCTCCGGCGGAGTCGTCTTCGCTATCGGCCAGTTGGATGCGCACGCCATGGACGACCTATAAAACGAAAGATGGATGGATGGTTGATGAGATCGTATGGATAGTATCGCTATGACTAGATAGTATAGAAAGGGAGAGCGGAGATGGAGATGCAGGCTATAAGAAATCATGAAATCATGAAATCACTCAGCGGAGCTTAAACGAAAGCGAAATTTCGTTGTTAACTATTAAATGACGACATCTAGTCAGACAAAGGCCACACCAAAAAGGCAGTTCCACGTAGGTAATTGGTCTGCGCAAATTGCAGGGAAATTAATTTTAAATTGCCCGCCAAAATGTCGAACGATTGGCACATCGAAATGTCAATGATTTGTGGGGCTGGTTATTTTGTTTTGGGTTGGGATTTGGGTTTTATTTCGGCGATGCCATTGTTATTCGCTGTTATTATTATCGTGCTCTGCGGTCGCATTGTGCAATCTGTGCCAATTATTAGGAATAAATTAGTTGTCTTCGTTGAATATGCATGGCATAGGGGCCTTTATCCGCAGTTAATCCGCTGACAGACAGACAAAGCACTTGACACTCATCATCATAAATTGTCGCCGACATCTGGGAGATGCGCTTGAGTGCTGCTAAACATATATATATGCTTATATGCTCATCAGAAATGTGTACATTAAGGTCTGTCCCCAGTCTGTCTATCTGTCCGGAAAGCGGTCTTAAAAGGTTCTTGCTGTTCGAGTAGTCCTCAGGGGGGGGAAAAACGGGGTCTTGAAAACGAAAGTATGTACATATCTTTCCTGCCATCAAAGAGTGCCAATCATATGTGAATGAAAGCCCAGACAGAGTGAAAGGCAACAACAACATTATCGACACAGGCAATTGAAATTATAATAAAGCTAATTTGCACACAAGAAATGAGTTGGCAGACAGCTTAGCTGCCTTAATTAATGGAGCAGCTTATGTCCCTCATCGTGGGAAGTACTTAACTTGGCTAGGTGTTCTCACTGCCCAAGTGTGGATTGTAACTGGCTAAATGGCAAAGTTAGACACCTGCACGAACCCGTACAAGGAAAAAACATACCTATTTAGCCAAGAACAACAATAGTTGTGGCAATCGCGATCTGACAAAAGAGTTTGGCATTGAAATGAGCTGAGCAAACACAGTGGTGTGGTTACGCTGAAGTGCCGCAGGGTTCGACTTGATCTCGGGATCTTGATTAAGCTTTCAGCAGAAAACGTGACAATATCTGTCTGTCATTGTTTCTATAATTTTTCAAACATCATTGTTTACTAATAGAAAACTGATTCATTAATGTCTTATTTACGATTATATGAACTTAACTAAAATAATAATAATTAAGGTTTTATCAGTAAGCTCTTAAAATAAAAAATCAACAATGTATATTGTAATGTAACACAAAAACCTTGGTTAATATATAATAGATACCCCTATACCTTTTTTAATAAATGATAAGTTCAGCATTTCAGCAACAATTAACCAAATATATCTCAAAAAATGTTTCTGTAACTTTAGAATTTATATATCTATTTAGTTTTATGCGACTAATAAGCCTTTCTGACAGCTTAAAGAGGGATGCTTGCCTCATTAGGCTTCCAGTCACGTGCACGCATAATGTGCTCTATAATCCCCTATGCTAACCCCTCCCAGGCAACGCCCTTTAAGATTCATGAGGTGTGGAGATAAGTAAAGTAACCATAAACCATAAACCATCAAAGAGATATATCTCCAAAGCTGGCCATAATCGTGACAACGACCCTCAAAGAAAAATTAACCAACATAATGTACGATCTTCACATTGATCGTGCACAGCTGCTGGAGCATTATCATCCCAAAACCCAAAGTTGCTGCGGTCGAGTGCATTGAAAAAGTATTTGAAAAACCGCACAAATTACAAATCATCTGCGAAACGTTTGGCAGGTGAAAGATGATGACGCACAAAACCATTTAGACGGGCGGCTCGATGAGTTTGCTGTCATTAACGGGAAGTGGAGTCCCATAGAGGGGAAAGGTGTGCTTATAGCGGTGCCAATATCTGTGCGGCATTAATGCAACCCAAATGCATTGTGATGCGAACCGTTAAGAGTTGAATGACAGCCTACATAAATGGGCACGATGCTTTTATAATGGCCAACTTTATCCACAACTTTATGTTTATTTATAAAGCTGCACCATTAGTGACGAAAATATATATTCAATATATTTAATTGATATACAATACTCATAATTGCACACAAAGCTATTGCTCAAAAACGTATAACTGACGCAAAACAGGCTCAGAATAATCCGGTTTTCAAACGAAACGTGGTGTTATAAATATATTTATCAGTTACAACATTCACATTAAGCAGGTGGTTAGATATACATTAGGTTATCACACCGATTTACATTCAATTATGCCTTATACTATAGCTTTTTTGCTAGGCTGAACAAAAATGAGTTAAAAATAAAATACTCTGAACTTTAAATAATATTAATATCTTTAATTGGTTCCAATAATATAATAATATCAGTCATTTGGAATTGAATATAATCGACAATACCCAAATTTACCAATCAGGCAAATGTCATTAACAATTTTATACAATTACAAAAAAATTAACAACCTGAACTATTTTGGATTACGAAATATATCCAGTCTTCAAACCCGAAATGATCAGACTACAAGTTTTTTATTTGTGTATATTTTGGCTAAATACCTTTAGTTATATTCACGTGAGCAAGTTATATATTGTATAAGGAGTAAAAAACTTAAAATTTTCTTTTTCCAATGTCAAGGGGGCCTATAAGTTTACTTGCGAACTGAGCGCTCCAGATGTGGGTTACATAGAGCAGTGCCACATAAAGGCCATAGATAGAAAGCACAACATGATAAACATTAAAACAATTTTAAACAAAACGATAACTCAGGTAATTTGTAAGCCAAAACATATTTAACAAAAATTATAGGTCATTTTTTTATTGAAGCTTGAGATCCATTTTAAGATTGTTAAACGCGAGAGTGGCGGTTGGCATCCCTTTTTGTACGATATAAGACTGGACTCTTGTCAATTCTTAAAGAATCCAAGGAAATTCTTTATTCCCAATCTTATTTATTCGTTTATGAAGCCATACACAAATGTGAACCACACTTGCCCATACTTGGTAAGTCCGAAAATATAAACATCTTACAATAGTAAAATAATTTTCTATATATTTAATGAAAGGCTGGTTCAGAGATGCAACTTTTGAATTGGACTCCGGACGAAGGCAAAGTGATAGCTAAATTTCCCGTAGACTACGGCCAATATGGCCTACATACAACTTGGTACATCAACAAAGTAGCGACATTAAAAATAAATGGCTCAGTTTTATTTTTTAAATAATACATGCCCCGAAAATAACCAATTTTTATTTCTTTCATTGTTTTCCAATAACTGGTTGAAGATCGGTAAATGAATTTTTAATAGACGTTATGCTGTACAGCTATGATTAATGATTATTACAGTAACCAAACCTATTAAATAATCTTCCAGCTTTTTTATGTTTTTCTATCGAGCATCAATTTTAAATTTGACAACATATAAGAGTACATATTAAAACAAAAAAATCGGGTTTATTGCTATAAAAAAATCTAACATATTATACTCATGAAATCGCTTTAAACCGGAATTAAAAATACTAAAAATGTTTCTGGAAAATTTTACAGAGTTCAATTTTGTGTTCCTGTGTTATTATCTTTAAAATTTTTGATAGGCTGACGCAGAGATGGGCTTCTGAATTGGACTCCCGACGAAGACGGAGTTATATAGTATTTCCAGTTTTTCATTAAGATTTTCAAACTTAAATCTTAAAAGCACACTATTTATATTTTATTGCAAGCAAAAATCCATCCATTAAAAATTTGTCTATAAAATTGGTTTACGGTTTAAAATTGGTTAGGATATGGTAATTACCATTTAATAACCTACAATAATACCCAAATATAAATAAATATTTAAGCAGCGGAAATAAAGTTTAAAAGTATTATTTTGATACCGCTTTGTGGACACATAATATTTTTTAACATATGTTTTGGCCACACTTTCTAAGCATATGCTTATTCAATCGTTGATAAGACGTAATGTCCAACCCGCTTGCATACTAACACACATTTCAAGTGGCAAACAAATTTTTTTTCGGTTTGTGGGCCACATTCGAGCGTGTCCAGCTTTTGGCCATGCGACTCACGTTTAAGGCAGAAATGGTAACAATTCGAAAAAGGCAAAGAAAAGCAAAGAGAAATGTGCGTTTTGGCCACAGTTGGCTGCGCGTGCGCCCGCTTGATTACCTCCCGTATTTACTTTTAAAGCCAAACAAACAAGAGGCGGCTTAAAAAAAAGCTGTCATAAATGGCCAACTGCAAGCCACGCACGTTTGCTCTGGGTGAATTTTTTATTTTTTTTGGGGGGGATTACGGTGGAGATCGGGATTACGAGGCGCCAACGCGGTTTGCCCAGTTGCGTATGCTAATTTGGGCGCGGGAATCGATCATCGACGTTGGTTGAGTAATTATTTACGTCTGTCTCTGCCTCGGAGGCAGTCACTCTGACTGCCAATCGCCAACCTATCCGTAACTCACAGCATTTCTGCGTCTTCATCGTTTACACTCTCTTCCGCTCAATAATGTTGCACGGAAAAAAATCATTTTACGGCTGGGAAATTATGTAAAATCGGAAATAAAAGGCATTCAAATGAAAATAAAAATACCATTTGTGGATTTGAAAAGTTTATTACTTTAATAGAGCCATAACAACTAAGTGAAGTTTATGCAATGGCTAATAACCAGCTAACTTTAGTGTTCATCGATATCCTTTCAATTATATTTTTTGTATTTCTTGAAATCAGTTTCATTCAAAAAACTATCTGAGTCTAGTTTTTATCGCTTTTTTATTTTTTTTCCAAGCTACTACTAAACTATTAATACAGACAAATTTAAATTCCCTTTAAACTACCTTTTTTTTATAGCTTAAACTTAATTTTGATTTATAAATCATTAGACGTATTGACATAAATCAATCAAACACCTTGTTACCCGATTTAAATTAAGCAATCTAGACAAATGCTTATAAATATTCATGTGGGTATTGGATTCGACACAACAATGCAATTTCCATAAATGTCATGATGCGATGATATTAAATAATATAATCAGCTTTGTTCCCGTTTTCAATAACCCCATTTTAAGATTGCGAATTTTGGTAAGATAAGGCAAGGTAAAAAGTGCATAAATATTCATGCAAACTTTAGTGAATATAAGAAATAACAATGCAACATTGTGTTAATATTAATTAACAAAATCAGCCCTGATCCCTATTTCAATAACCCAAATAAATAAATATATTGATGTCATAAGCAACTTAAAGAATCAAATTTTATTTGACAAAAAGTATATACAAATTATGGAAAAACCAAGTGTTGAAAGGGGGACATAAACCAACCAATTTGGGTATTTTTTCCAGTGCAATTTTCCGGCGACTGTCACCTGCGTTCAACGCTCGCTCAAGTTCGGCAGATCAATCGAAATCGCGGCTTTCAACTGAGCGCTTGTACATGGGCTTTCACTTTCATTTGGCCAGCACTCTCACTCTTGGATTCTCTCGAGCAGCTTCGCTCTTTTACCAATTTTTATTTCTTTCTTTTTTTTTGTAATATTTTCTGAGCCGGGTTTTGCCGATGGCCACTTTGCATGCTGCGCCACTCTGTTGGCTCTTTTTTCCATTTTTAACTGACTCATCTGTTCGCCGACTGTTGATTATTTTTACTCAATTCGTTCGTTACCTCACAGTTTGACCGCAAAAAAAGCTGTGTGTTACTTAATTGAAATTATGAACTGCAGCTAATCTAAGGCACTTTAGCACCAGCTGACCGAACGGAACACCACCTATTCAAGTGGCACAATTTACGCCGCAAACTCAAATAAATTGGATGAGTTTTGCTCGGGAATCATCCCGACTATCAAGTCGTTCAGCCAATTGAATAATTGCATTAACTGGCACTAAAGTTCCATGAAATCGCTGGTTGCTGGTTGTAATAAAAATATGTGTAAAGTTCCAGCGAATCGAAGAAATTCCCTGATTTGTATATTTTAATTTTTCATTGTCCGGTGGAATATGTAAAATAAATGAAGGGTCAAATTCCAGCCAATGAATATTTCATTTGCAGCACAAAATACCAACGAATTCATTCATTGGTATCTTCCTTTTTTATTAATTGAATGTATGTACAATGCACTTCGTAAATTGCAGTAATTGCATGTTAAAAATATTTATACATGCATCAAATTTAATGATGCATTAAATTGCTTAAATCTATTTAAAACGTATGTTTAATCACCATAAAATGCATAAAAACATCACCTCGCATGCTGAAATTCATTATTAGTACTAAAAGGGAAATTAATTCTGCAATATATCAAATTAACGCTGAAAAAATGAATGTATAAAAAATAACAAAGCAATAGATCAAATTAAATGTGGCATAAAATGGCTTAAACTGATTTTTGCTCTTTATAATTATCCCAATTCCTCATAGTGCGAGTGCAATGTAGTTATAGGGATTTAGTATTTGTTTAATCTATAAATACGCCACACAAATTTTGTGAAATTTATAGAATTTATAGCCAACAATCAAATTCTACGAAATTAATGGGGTGTGCTTAAATTAATTTGAGGCATATCGAGGCAATTGCTCCATGCATCCTTTTCATAAATGTATCCAATTTAAACGCCTTAAACTATGTAGATGTAAAGGTAGCGCCAAATTAACCATGCTTCAATCAGTAAGACAATGCTTAATTAGTTACTGATTCAATTAAGGGCACGTTCTCTGTCGAATTGGAGAATCAGAATCAGCACGTTGTACTGCACAAGATGAGAACGAATGGAGGCGGGATTTAATTCCTGTTTGCAATTGCAGATGCCGAAGTGATTGGGGCGAAATGCAGGGATTTAAAGGGGCTTACGCAGGACTGGGACCCTGAGGGACCCTGAGGAGCGACCTCGCCCAAGTTTGAGTTCACTTTGGGCCAGAATCTCCTCATCCTGATGCTCCCTGCCAGCTAACGGTGTTTTGTTTCAAAACAGTTTCGTTTATTGGCCCTGAAGCGGCATCACCATGAACATTCATCCATCAGCCATTTGGCCAAACAGCTTTTAAACGTGTTTTTTCCCCAGCCGGAGATAAATTCCAGATTTTTTTCTACGTAGCTCTCGTCTATTTGCCATTGCTATGGCTACTAATATTACCCTCTGCTTCTCGGCGTTTTAATTGATTGAGGCAAAAAGCGGATGGCAAGTGCAACTGGCATCGTTATGAACAAGTTCGTCATCATTCACTTTCTGTACTAGTAAACAGGGTAAAACAGAGGTCTCTGTGTCTAAAACTTTTTTAATTTGCAAAATTATACATACTTTTGATTAGTTTCTATAAATGAGAGAAATGCTGTTATACAGCAAAATGAAACATGGACATAAAAACAAAGTTTAGTACTTTTTTGCCACAAAATGTTGTGAATAGTTCAGGTTTAACTTATTTCAACAGGGCTTTTTCATGCAACTCATTTACCAAAATAGCAGAGAAGTTTGTAATGGTTTCTGGGAATACTTTTATATAAACTATTATACAGGTGTTCTGAAAATAACTTCACATCTTTTTTCACTCTTGCACCTTTATGATGTGACAATAATCGAATTTACATTTTTATGCAAATTCCACTCTACTTCAGTTACTGCAACTGAAGCTGTGTGATTCCTAATTGGCCAATTACACTTGCAATCCATTGGATTGCTCTGCAGCCAGTCCACCCACCTCTATTTTTCCCTGAAAAAGTCTGAAAATGCGTCTTTGATATTCCTTTTACACACAAAAAAAAATTGTATGGCTAAAATTAACAAGTTACGGACAGTTATAAAAATAGTGACGCGTATTGAAGAGTAGAACTACTACAAAATGGTAAGTTGTGTGTATTCTGTTGTTGGGAGAGGAACTATTTCATTGGTCAAATGATAACCATTTTACTACTACATTGGTCAATTTGAGTCAATATTTTTTTGTGTGTACTGCAACTTTCCTTTCGAGGATTCTCCAAAGTTTTTTGAATGGCTTCTTGTTGGCTGTCCAAAGCGTTTTGCTACACAGTAACTTGTTTGTTTAAAGTTTTGTGTTCGTCAAGTTGATAAATATTTAATCGTGAGGAATGGTTAGAGGCAGTATTGTAGATATATGCATGGCAAGACGGGTATCCACTTAAAATGTAAATAGAAACACATGCAGATGTTAGCAAAACTCATTGGCGATATGAAATGCATTTGCATTTGTGGTGGGGTTTTACCAAACGGAGAAGCAAAAATGATGTCGACATATCAAAAC